GGCGGGCCTCTTACATGGAGGAGCAGAGCAGATGAGTGAGGTCCGAGGTGGCGTGGCACGGCAGGTAGCTGGAGAACTGGAGAAGAAGCAAGCGATTGGATGGAGCAGAAATGAATAGAAAAATCTGCCTGAAATTCATCTCGTCTCGGTAACATCTACTAGACTAGCACCAAACACTATTATATGGATTGGTGTACGAGTGAGCAGGCCAGAAGAGACGACGATGAGACGTTGCAAGCATTGTAGGTGTCGACGGGGGCCTGGAGGCTGGTGCGGCGACGAAGGTGTTGCTTGGATCATATCCCACTCAAAGGCAGATCATATAGATATAGATATATAATATAAATATATATACATATTTGCATGTATGTGTATGTGTGTATGTATGTATACACTACAGAGAATGCAGAGAGGAGAGGATATACGCTTGCTGCTTGCAGACAGCGACGGAATCGGGCAGGAAATGGTGAAAGGGAAGCAGGGCAGGGCAGAGCAGAGTGGAGGGAGTGAGACTGTCACTCTCGCTGTTGGGTGAAATTAGGTCCCGTACCGAATTCACTGAAGAGCTGACTGACAGTTAGTTCTGTCTGGCCATTCTTCAGCAGGAAGGTCGGGTCAGAATTGGATGGGTGTGAGGAGGGTTGCTTTCACTTCCGCCTCTCGTGTGCTTCACTTTGAATGGAAAGTTACTTCAGACACAGTCATCAGGCACTATATATGTGATTGGATTGTTTTTTATAAAATAAAAAGATAAAAGAAAGAAAAGGAGAATTGCTCCAAGCACTTCGCAAGATTTCTGCGACGATGTCGATTTCACCGCTGGCATTATCTGACAGAAATTATTAGCGTGAGGAGGTTTGTGACATCGCATACCAAATTATGCAGGACGGGCGTACTATGATTCACGGGTGACTGTACAGGTCCATAGCTTGCTCGGCGAGAGAGTTGTCGCCATTAAAGGGCCTCTTAGCTTGTTTGTTGCGAAGCGATTGTTTCTGGTTCATCCAAGGAGAGCGGGCGATCCCGATCCACCAGCAATTAGGGGCAGCAATTAGCTAAGCTGTTCGTGTACGATTGTACGAACCGCAGCGCAAAAGGACACAGCAGCCACCAAACGCTCCTAAATCCATTCGTCATTCCTCTCATAATTTTTTTTGGTAACTAAAATAAAGGGCAAACGGTGGTTTTGACTTTGGTTTTGTGCAGCCGCTTCTGCACTCAAAGCGAAAGTGCTTATACAGTGACTGACGGACAGAATCACAGAACTGCTGTTCAAGAAACGCACAGTGCATGCATTTGGACTTGCATTGGTCAGTGGCGTCACTTTGTTACTCTCACTGCCCTCACTCTCACTCTAGGTGAAATAGACTAGATGCCTGACCAGAGAGATTGTTGAGCCGGGACTCAAAGAGATGGAATGAAATGCAATGTGCACTTGCACTGTTGCGTTGACCTGGATGGCGAAGTCGTCTACAGTTGTACGGAGTACTATCAATGAGGAAGGCGTTGGTTGGTTGGGTCAGGAAAAGAGTGGTTGGACACATGCATTCAGTGGATGGATTACTCCTGGTGGCATGTCAATTCGTTTGGTGGCAAAGCTTAACACAAAGCCCTCCAAACTACCAATGCTTGCATTGCTGTCCTCTCTCACCTTTCCTTTCCTTTTCTTTTTGGCTTATTAAATAAAAAAATGTCTCCTCTTAAACTTTTCCTTTCTGGCTTATTACTTGTTAATCAGCTACTTCCTCCTTTTTCTAAAAATTGTGCAAGCCAATAATCATTTCTCTGCGCTGGCCGACGAAATCTCGCACTGTATATTATTAGATACTGTTGCGGATTCTTCGCTTGGTTCTTCAATTCTTGTGCACCACATGGTCGATATGTCTCAACCGTTACTGATCCATCAGTGTTCGTTTGATTGATCTCCATTGCACGCACCTACCTAGCAGATTGTTGCTACAATCTGTCGAAGCAATTCGACAGCGAAAACAGATGAGAAGAAATGCTGCTGGCAGAGACTGTCTAAAGTCCAAACCCAGTTGATCTCAACCGCCATGACCAACAAGTGCTTCATCACCAGCACAGCACAGCAGACTACCGGTCTAGTCTACGCAGGCCAACCATAAGGCCGGATCTCAGTGCATGGCTCATCACATGCCCAAAACTACACCAACAAACAGACATGTATGTATACATGCAATTATATGCAGACTTTTTCCTTGGAGATTAGGGGACAATGCACGAGCTATAGGGGGGGGGGCCTCTATCCAATAACAACTCAGGAAGTTTTTGAGCCCGGAATGCACGCAACCACAACATATATCTCGCACAGCATGCAAGCAGGACCACTACAGCTAGCCATATGATGAGCACATCATGCATATCGCACTGAAATTTCTGTCCTGTCTAGCATATACGTAGCTGTCCTTTGTATAATGTAACTGTATTATAGTATATGTTAACAAAGCCTAGTTGCCCATGCTTCAGAAAAAAAAAAAGTCCTTTCATCTTGTAGCTAGTTCATTACATATATTGCTCTCGAATGTCGGTCATCTGCCGGTGATCCATACTTCTCATGGAGAGTGGTTGTCACTACCAAATCTTTCATCAGGTCGCTGGCATCAACCCACACACACATGTACAATTCCTTTTTTTTCCCCTTTTCCAAAACACGAGGAACAATTTTAATGGGTGCAGATTAATTGTTAAGGCTTCATCAGGAGATGGCTACTCCCTAACCGTTTCCTCTGTTCACATCACCACCACACATATATCAGCAATTCAGCATCTTGCTGTAAGTCTGTCACTGACCTTTTGGATAGGGACTAGCACTAGTTGGATTCAGACATCCGAATTGTAGCTTCAAGTTGGTCAATAGAGCTAGCTGTTTGAATGCTATGCGTATCGGAATGTTCCTTCCAGGTGCAATTTTACCTTCACATGCTGATTTTCTGAAAGTCAAATTATCCATATAGCTCATTTCATGGATTCCTATTGTAAACATTTTGTTCCAGAAGAAATCACAAAGCAGCGTAGCACAGCATTACCGAACAGAGCCTTCAGTGGGCGCCATGCTAAAGCTGGAGATATGCATGGCAAAATCAAGTGGCAAAACGGAAAGTAGAAGAATAGCTGCACGCTCTTGTGTGTGTGTAGAATTATGCAAACAAAATCAGGCAAGCAAATACTGCCAGTGTGTACTCTGATGACAGCATAACCAACACATTTCCTCTCCCAGAAAAAAAAGGCATATATAACAACCGTTTTTATTAGGTTTCTGGGTCCCAGAACATATATCCATGCATGGACTAAGTAGTTGCTGGGCAGTCACAGCTTCCTTGCCTTTCTTGTAATGTACAGTATTCCCCTGATGATTAGCGGGTGAGCGTGCTGATGCTTTCTTCCAGCTCTTTGCACTGTTTTTTTTTTTTTTGTTTTTCCTTCAATGGCTCAATCAGCAGCAGTGACCTCTCATCATCATGGCCAGTTCGTTGGGCATGTTCTCCTTGGTGGCATCGAATGGATGTGTTGAATTTAAATCTATTTGTTTTTCTTTGTATATGAGTGCTGCGGCAAGTTGCATTGGCTAGTGTTTTGGATCAGGGCTAAATTATGCCACTACAAAATGCCTTCCTTTTTTTTTGGTTATGGATAGTTTCCCCTGGTAGATAATGGTTGATTTTGAAATTAATAAAGCCTGAATTTTATCCTCTTTTTTTTTTGTTGTCCAGCCTTTGTACTGTTATGTAGTATTAGGAGTATGAGATTCTCTCAAAGGGGAACAGTGCTATGAAATCATGTGGAACAGTAGTGAACAGTGCTATATGGATAGAGATGGGATTAGCAATTTGTAGAACGTTACTGTAGAGAGAATCGCCATGATTCACAAATGGTCTCAGAAGTCCGTCCGTATGTGATGAGGATACTGTCAAGTTGGGCGGTAGGTCAATGATAGAGGGTTACCCTACCATAATGCAAAGCCAGCGTGTATCCATTAATCTTAATCCAATGCAAAATGATGGAGCATCCGATCTGACTTGCAGCAATATTTCTTGCAATTCATAAACTTTCTACTGCTTAATTGATGCAAATTAAAAATGCGTTAAGTTGTTCTTGTGTTTTCTCATTGAAGATTTTTTTCTTTGATTCAAGTCATCAATCATCAGTAAATTCCATCCGCATCACCAATTTATATTTCATGAGAATTTAATTAAACAAAATTGATATTATAGATAGTGATGCATTTAAACTTGATCAGAATTAGAGAAGTTTGACTTGGGACAATACTAAAATGACATATAATTTAAGAACAGAGTGTGTAATTTTAGCACGCAAAGTTTGCGGATGCTGAGACTTCCTCTCGAAATTTCGTTGATACACGTAGCAGAAGTGGCATTATTCAAGAAACCCAGTTTACTACGCCATGCAAGGGCATGTGAACGTTCAGGAAGTGGAAGAAAAGGTAGTATCATTAGGGCATGTGTCCAAATCAGCCATCTTGCTTGACATTCTCCAGATGAGTATATATTAAAAAGGCTTGGTCCCTTGATCAGCATCCAAAGTGAACAAATAACTAAGTCAATGAAACATTTGGCAATACGTAAAGACGAATCAGTAAAATAGCGCTTGCAATATACGTAGCAGTTCAAATTCTGCATTGCCACACCTACTTAATTGATACCTTTAAGAAAATACCAAAAAACAGCTTTCCCCGGTTCACGTTGTTGGATTTTTAATTAATCTATCAAAAAGGTATTCATGAATATCTTACCAAACAATAAGTAGCGTCATGGGCACAAAAGTTCCTATGACAATTCAGTGTCAAGATTGATCAAATATAAATAAAGCGTGCTTTTGGACCATGCATGGTGCTCGGGATACATGATCTGTAGGTCAGAAGCAACATCACACACAGGCACGCAGATACGAAGAGAGTTATACAGATCTAGCTTTGTTTCAGGAGCATGATCTTATCTGGCATATCGCTTCAACCAATCTGATCAGTACAAGCTTCCTGAGCGGCGCGGGTTTGGATCTGGCCTGATGGGCTCACCTGTGAAGGGATCAAACTTGTAGGGTTCACCTGTGAAGGGATCAAACCTTACTTGTTGGCGTTCTGCCGAATATTCAGCGGGTGACCTGGAGCGGAAATCTGACCCTACGTCCGTGTTGTACCCTGCCTTGTACCCTGCAGCAGGCAGGAATCTCCTTTCCCTAGAAAGAACAGCTTCTTCAGCTGATCTTTCAATATTTGAACTATGCTCTTGTATGTATCTTCGATCAAGATGCTTTCCAGTGTTGTGTCTTGATTCATACGCTAATCTTGGTTCTGGGTTCATTCTTATGTCAATTTCGTCATGTCGCGGACATGGTTCTGGGTTTCTTACAATGGTGGATCTTTCTTCAGCATATCTTCTAATCCTTGACTGAGACACTGGTGGATCGTCTACGTAATATGTTGAAGGATGATGGCCTGAGGAATTGTATCTACTGCTCCTGCAAGTAAAGTGGAGATTACCATCCGAGCTTGAATACCACAAGCACCATTTACAGTAAGCCAGCCAGAGCAGAGGAGTGAGTGCAAACCTACCCGGGTGTCACAAAATCATAATCTTCATCTGGGTATCGCTTGCTATGTATTTCTGGATTTCTTGGCAAATAAGTAGTACCGTGCAATGTATGTGTTAAGCCAAAGGCCTCAGCCTGGTGCTGCAAGTCAAAACAAGACATTCAAGGAAAGAAAAAGGAGAAAAGAGCAAAAAGGAAAGATGGATGATATTGAGTGAGGTAGTACCTTAGCAATCAATGATGCAAAATAATCTCCTTTATTGCGTTTATCTCCACCCGATATCAAAAACTGCATGTGCTTCTTGGTGAGGATTAATGATAACATGGTTCAGGTAAGGGCTCAAAAATCATTTATGTAAAACAACTGAATACCTGATTAAGGACAGCAAGAGCAGATGACTCAGGAAGCTCATTGAGGCTTTTTACACAATGGATGTCAATCTGAAGAAAGGAAGATGGAAAAGAACATCATGCTTCATGGTTCATACATTAAAAGGGAACAAATGGAGACCTCCCTGTACAAATCACTTACATCATATTGAGTACCAATTCTTAGACGTAGAATCCGAAGCAAGACTTCCTTGGCAGCTGAAGGTAATGAATTAACAGCTGATTCATAGGGGTCAGAGGCATCAGCCGCCTAATAAGAGAGAAACACACAGAAAACATTGTCACAAACATGAACAAACACACCATCCTTTCTCCTTACTGCAATAGGAAATTTATTCCATTCAACTAAGCATGCTTACAAAAAAAAAAACATGTATTCAAATACTAGAAAACTGCTAATTCAGCTGGTCAATGCTGGGATATCTGATGCTCAGTTTTGTTATATCATAAATAAGCAAGAAATCAAGCTACAAAAACTGAAAATGGCTGTGCTTCTAGCCTATTTAACCTACCCAACAGGAGAGCTTCCAGTAAAATAATTGCACTTCTAGCCTTCAAAGCCAGAGTTGAGCAGCAAACTATCATACAGAATCTGATGTCTTCATATTATATTTGTACAGAGAAGACAAAAAGATCATAAGACCACCTAGAGGTAGCAGACTGATGCGCAGTTTACTTCTAAAACAACTATAGCATCCACAAAATGAAGGTGACAAATAACAAGTGAACCAAAGCTCTACTAAGTCACTGGCTAGCTAAGATGAACATTTCAAGACTTAGTAGCTCAGGTCATTTCAGATTTAATTATAGGAAGTTCTATCTTTACTCAAAAGTCAAAACTCACTTGTTAGTTTTTAACATTAAAAGGAAGAAAAAGAAAAAAAACCCAAAATAATTGGCAACATGTTGATTATCATACATACATAATTAGATAATCTTGGAGCTTTCACTTGACGATCAAGTGAATCATGTCCATATCTTCCATGAGAATAATCTTGCCTATCTCCTGATACATTTGATCTTCTAGTTCTCACTTCTTCACGAGATCGCTTCTTGTCATTGTCTGCCACAGGTCGAGCAACTGACACCTATTGAGAAAAAAAAATGAGAGATTAATTTGTCAAATCCAAAGTAGAAAGATCAAATAAGCAGCAAGAAGCTAGTAATAATCCCAAACAGATAACATTGTTATTCATGCCTGGATCCTGAAAGACGGTCCTCGATTAGGTCCTCTCACCGTTTTACCATCCATTTCTTCTATAGCATTTTCAAGCTCCTGTAATTGATAATATATAGTTTTTTTATAGCAATCAATCCAATACAGCTGTTTAAAGAATATCCAAGCACATTAAGTGCCCGAAAACATACTCTTCGAATTATGATAAACACTTACTGAACGATTGGCGAAGTGAACAAAACCAACTGGGCCTTGTCCTTTTCTTGAGATAGCAACCCGTACTACCTGGTTGCACATCCGTCATAGTTGTTCAACATTGCATGTAATATTTTTTTTTAAACGCAGGAGAGCTGCGTTTCATTGTATTATAGAGATGAAAAAAGGGGGGGGGGGGGGCCCAACAGGATCCTCACTCATAACATTGCATGTAATATTGGTTAATCGAAATTGCAAAAAATGTGACAGACATCTTGGTGCACCAACCTCACTGAACTGTTCAAAAAGCTTTCTCAAGTACTCCTCGCTAACATCTTCTGGCAGGTTCCCAACAAAAGCAGACTTAATCTGAGAGTACACAGAACAGAAATCACGATCAAAAGTTCAAACAGAAGATAACTATATTTATATCGAGGAAAAAAATGCTTCCCTTTTTCTACATTACCTTGGCCATTTCATCAGGATCCACATGAGACTCTTTATCAGCCCAATTTATCGCAGGATGCAAAATATCGCCAAGCATAAAATCTGTTCTTGAACCGATACGGATTACACGTGCTGCAGCCTGTGATTGATAGTTTCAGGAGGAATGAAATCAAAGGAAGCTGGCTTGAGCAGAAAGCAAAGGACCTAAGAACATCTTCACCAAGATGTTATTAGATATCTGTCTTTTCCACGCATCTCAGTGGCGAAAACTCAGATCAGTGATGACTGATGAATCAAGATCTTATCTAGATAACATACTTGTATTTTGTATCATTGTATGTGACAGCTGTGATTGATATCAAATGAGATTTGCAGAGTAACATAATGGCAGATCCAAATTACTGTGGTGTAGTAATGAAGCCAAGAGAAGGGAATCAAGTATCAGCATGGGAGATATAATTTCACAGCCACAGAACACAGCTAGATTTGGGAATAAACTGAAAAACGATCAACTAGGAAATTCCTAAGAGGATCATCAAGTGACGTACGATCGCCGAAACCCTGGTTGCCCCGTCGTTGGGTAGCTGACATAAGAGGAGCTCTCTCTGTCCAGGTTCTTACAGAATATCTCTTACGGGACTTGATGGATGGTTTCTCGCTGCAGCAGAATGATGCCAATCAGCATTGTTTGGAGGCTTACTAGGAATGGTTCTTACTCTAGCAAACTCGGCCTACAATGCCTTTTTCCTTGGTTCCATCCGCTTTGCTCCTTGGAAACGAATTTGGAAATATTGGGCGCCTCTTCGCTGCAAGTTCTTCATTTGGCTTGCATGAAAGAACTGTTCTTGAATGGCAGACCGGCTCACTAAAAGAGGACTCCCCACCCGGCTACTTGCCCCTTCTGTAATCAAGAGGAGACCATACAGCACCTATTGGTTTCACGTGTTTTCGCCTGGCAAATCTGGTTCATCATTTTGCAGATTGCAGAAAATTGGCTTGGCCTCCATTGCACCCCAACCATCAACTCATTGATTCTGAAGCTGGTGGTACCAGGCACTGGCAGTTAAAGAGGTAACAATGGACTACAAAAAGGGGCTCAATTCACTGGCAATATTGGTGGCTTGGGGAATCTGGAAGTACAGGGCGACTGTGTTTTTAATGGCTCTACTCCAAGCATTACAATGGTGTTGCAAGCAGTCACTTACGAGTGCATCCTTTGGTGCTCAGCCGGAGCAAAGGACCTCCTGGAGCTTCTTGGAAGGCCTTTGGGAGGGGCTCAGGCAATAGTGTGGTAGTTCTGGTCATGTTGCTTTTGGTCTTTACTTTCAGTATGGCCTAGTTTTCTAGAGTGTTGTGGGTGTTTGACTGTGTGAGTGTTGTTTGGGATTTCTTCCTGTTTCAGACCTTTCTTCTTAATGAAATGATATGCAGCTCTCCTGTCTGTTCAAGAAAAAAAAAGGGGGGGGTACTGTTATATAGTCTGCTTTTACTTGAATTAAAGAAATATATAGGCAAGTCAAAGAATGCCAAATAATTTCTTCTAAATATAATGAAGCGCAGTTCTCCTACGTTTAACTCCGCCTATGTTGTCTCAACATAGTAGGTCCCAAGCCCTGGTAAAGGAGGAGTGTTGTGATAGGCGTGGCTAACCAACGTTAAATCTAGCCATTCTAATGGAGATGAAACCCGGAAGAAAACCGTTGAGGCGTAACCCTCTTAGCGACGCGCCATATCGGAACCTGGGTATGGTGTTAAATGAGCAAGGGCCGGGTCGTCACCCCCGTGACGCGCCGTGTCGCGATCTGGGCACGGTGTCAAGTGAGCAAGGATCGGGTCGTCGCATCCTTAGTGGCGCGCTACATCGGTGCCTGGGTGTAGTGAACAATGAGCAAGGGTCTTCACATCTGAGTCGACGGGTGCGAAGGGTAAGGAAGCTAGTCGAACCAACTAGGATCCGTTTAGATAGTTGGAATGTAGGGTCGCTTACAGGTAAGTTAAGAGAATTAGTTGATACCGCGACTAGGAGGCGTCTAAATATATTATGCGTTCAAGAAACTAAATGGAAGGGTCAGAAGACGAAGGAGGTGGACAATACAGGTTTTAACCTTTGGTACACAAGGACAGTCGCGAATAGAAATGGAGTAGGAGTTTTGATTGATAAGAGCCTCAAGAATAGTGTGGTGGAAGTGAGAAGGCAAGAAGATAGGATTATCTTAGTCAAGCTTGTCATTGGTGATATGGTCTTGAATGTAATTAGTGCGTATGCCCCCCAAGTAGGCCTCGACGAGAGTGCTAAGAGACAGTTCTGGGAAGACTTAGATGGCCTGATTAGAGCTGTACCTAGTAGTGAGAAGCTTTTTATAGGAGATCTTAATGGGCATGTAGGTACTACCAAATGCAGTTTCGAAAGGATTCATGGAGGTTTTGTGTATGGTAGTAGGAATCGGGAGGGGGAGGAAGTTCGGACTTAGCGGTAGCTTTTGACCCGATGATAGCCAACACTTTCTTTAGAAAGAGAGAATCTCATCTAGTGACCTTCAGTAGCGAACAACACTCTAGCCAGATTGACTTTGTCCTCGCAAGAAGAAAGGACAAACGAGCATGCTTGGGTTGCAAGGTGATACCAGGGGAGTGTGTTGTTTCTCAACATAAGCTTTTGGTGGCAGACTTTCGTTTTCAGGTGCGTGCCCGTAGGGATAAATAAGCTAAGATTGAAAGAACAAAGTGGTGGAAACTAAAATGGGAGACGTCAGAGATATTCAGGGAAAGGGTTATCAAAGAGGGCTCTTAGAAGGAAGAAGAGGACATAAACAACATGTGGGAGAAGATGGCAACCAACATTCGAAAGGTGATCTCAGAGGTGTGTGGGATAACCAAAGGAAGTGGAGGCGAGGCTAAAGATACTTGGTGGTGGAACGAGAAAGTCCAAAGAACTATCAAGGAGAAGAAAGAATGCTATAGACGCTTGTACCATAACAGGAGTGTGGACAACATAGAGAAGTATAAGGTGGCAAAGAAGACTGCAAAGCGAGCTGTAAGTGTGGCAAATGGTAGAGCGTACGAGGATCTTTACCAACATTTGAGTATGAAAGAGCGTGAGAGAAAGACAAGGGACTTCAACCAAGTTAAGTGCATTAAGGATGAACGGGAGCATCTCTTGGTGAAGGAGGATGAGATCCGACATCGATGACAAGAGTATTTTGACAAATTGTTCAATGGTGAGAATACGGACACAACCTTTCAGTTGGATGACTCTTTTGATGACACTAATAGGCGCTTTGTGCGGAGAATCCAAGAATCTGAGGTCAGAGAGGCGTTGAAAAGGATGAAAGGAGGTAAGACGATGGGACCGGATGGTATCCCAATCGAGATGTGGAGATGCATTGGGGACATAGCTATAGTATGGCTAACCAAGCTGTTTAACCATATTTTTCGATCGAACAAGATGCATAACGAGTGGAGAAGTATGTTGGTACCGATCTATAAGAATAAAGGGGATATTTAAAGTTGTATTAATTACCGGAGAATTAAGTTGATGAGCCATACTATGAAGCTATGGGAGAGAGTTATCGAGCATCGCTTGAGAGCAATAACGCGGGTTTCTATGAACCAATTTGGTTTCGTGCCCGGAAGGTCAACCATGGAAGCCATTTTCTTAATAAGACAAGTTATGAAGCGGTATAGGGAGAAGAAGAAGAACCTACACATGGTTTTTATTGACTTGGAGAAGGCTTATGATAAAATACCAAGGAATGTTATGTAGTGGGCTTTGGACAAACATAAAGTCCCAACGAAGTACGTCAGGCTCATTAAGGACATGTACAACAATGTTGTGACTAGTGTTCGAACAAGTGATGGAGACACGAATGACTTCTCGATTAGGATAGGACTACATCAAGGGTCAGCTTTGAACCCTTATCTGTTTGCCTTAGTGATGGATGAGGTCATAAGGGACATACAAGGGGACATCTCTTGGTGTATGCTTTTCGCGGACGATGTAGTGCTAGTTAATGAAAGTCGGACATGAGTGAATCAGAAACTGGAGTTATGGTGGAAGACTTTGGAGTCCAAAGGTTTTAGACTCAGTAGAACTAAAACTGAGTATATGAGATGTGACTTCGGAACTACTACTCGGGAGGAGGAAGATATTAGTTTGGAAGGTCAAGTAGTGGCTAGGAAGGATACCTTTCGATATTTAGGATCAATGCTACAGAGAGACGGGGATATTGATGAAGATGTTAGCCATAGAATCAAAGCAGGGTGGATGAAGTGGCGCCAAGCATCTGGTGTCCTATATGACAAAAGGGTACCACAGAAGCTAAAAGACAAGTTTTATAGGACGGCGATTAGACCTGCTATGTTGTATGGTGCAGAATGTTGGCCTACGAAAAGACGACATGTTCAACAGATAAGTGTCGCGGAAATGCGTATGTTGCGTTGGATTTGTGGTCATACAAGAAGGGATCGAGTTCGGAACGATGATATACGTGATAGATTAGGGGTAGCACCAATTGAAGAAAAGCTTGTCCAACACCGGTTGAGATGGTTTGGACATGTCCAACGGAGACCTCCAGAGGCACCGGTGCGTAGTGGAATCCTAAGCCAGGATAGTAACGTGAAGAGAGGTAGAGGAAGACCGAAGTTGACTTGAGTAGAGGCAATAAAAGGAGATTTGAAAGGATGGAATATACCCAAAGACTTCGCCTTAGATAGGAGTGCTTGGAAAACAGCTATTTATGTGCCTGAACCTTGATTGCTTCTGCTGGGTTTCAACTCTAGCCTACCCCAACTTGTTTGGGACTTAAAGGCTTTGTTGTTGTTGTTGCAGTTCTCCTGCGTTTTTGAGGAAAAAAAAAGAATGCCAAATAATAACCGATGCCAACACAAGCAACAGAAGAAGCTGCCAAGTAACAGTGTTGCTTCAATCATCGGTAACCTTCAGGCCTTCATAACTGAACTGTTAAACTTCATTGCAGCCATTAATTTATTGTAAGCTCTTATTTGACTCTTGGTCTGAGAGAGAGAAAGAGGAACTGCGAGGAAACTTTCTACATCACATGGAAGTAGATGACTAATGAGATATATGTTGATTTCCCCATCCGTGTTTCTAAATGTCCTACATATGGATTTTGGGTTTTGCTGTTGCTAAAAACTCAGGCTAGATGGTGATGGAGCTCGTCACTTTTTTGGACAGATAGATGGCTTCATGGTCGATGTATTGCTGATATTGCCCCACATTTGTTTGCTCTCATTCCTAAGAGACGAGCAAATAAACGCACTGTCCTGGAAGGCCACACAAACCAGACTTGGATCTTGGATCTGCAAGGTGCACTTTGTCTAATGTGGAATTCCTTGAGCTCTGCGCGACACTCTGTCTAATGTGGAACTACAGTCTGGTGTGGAGGATTCTCATATTTGGAAACTCAGCTCAAGTGGACAGTATACAGCAAAATTGACATATAGGGGTTTATTCCAGGGATCAGTGAGACTATTCTCTTGGGAGGGGATCTGGAAGACTTGGGCACCGGCCAAATGTCGCTTCTTCATGTGGCTTGTCGCACACAATAGATGCTGGACAGCAGATAGGCTAGCAAGGCGGGGTCTTGACCATCGCTCTCGTTGCCTTCTTTGTGACCAAGATGCTGAGACTATAAATCGCCTTCTGGTAGACTGTTTTTGCACGAGATTTTTGGTTTGGCCAGTTGCAGAAGGTTGGCATGCGAAGCATCTCGCCCCAGACAGGTGAAACATCCTTTGGGGCCTGGTGGGACAGAGCTAGCAGGGCTGGTGGTGGACTGGCAAGAGAAGGCTTGAACTCTATTGTCATTTTAGGAGCTTGGACACTCTGGAATCATAGAAATCACTGTGCATTCAATGGAGTTTCACCAAATCTAAATAGAGTTTTAACTCTTGCTTCCGATGAGTTGAGGTTCTGGGGGACTGCAGGTGCCAGGGGTATAACTTACCTGACTGGCCTGCTGCCTGAATGATTGTTTTTGTAGGTCAGGGGTCATTGTAAACTGTTCTCAAGGTGATTAGTTTTCTCTTAGAGTCCAAGGCGTGAGTGTGTGGTGTTGTATGGGGTTTCTTTCCCCCTTTTTATTCTTCTTAGTATAATGATACGCAGTTCTCCTGTGTGTTCGAGAAAAAAAACTCAGGCTAAACTTTGGAACTACATTACCTCTGCAGCATTATGTGTTTTCAACACAGCTTCTCACAGGTCTCTAGAGAACAAAGGTCATCCAGATAAACAAATGATAATAAAGGCCGATGATTTCATGTAGTTAATTACTAGTGGGCATGGAATACAGTTTGTGAGTGTTGCAGATCAGAAAAGGCAAGCATGCAAGTATTCCTTTGGCTTGGCTAACCAATCATCATCCTTCCAGACAGTGTTTCATCAGATATAGCGCCACCCAGTGAACTAGGAAGATTGGGAATTCATTTCAGATAAACACTGGCAGTGGTCATTGTCTCTGCCTCCTATACTTTGTAATGAACTTCAACCATGGATATAAATGTAAATGTAAAGAGCATATCAAAGCTACAAGATATGACTCAGATGAAAATTCTGGCATATGTCTTTTTCCTATACGGCCAGTACCAAAATTTTCTCTAAAACTGTGTTGAACAAATGATTCTTCAATGTCGGTGGCTTCTTCAGAAGTACCCACAATGCAACAGGAAATTTTCATGTGAAAACAGTAACATTAAAATCCATTCTTTGCAACATTAGTCAGTCATTTATGACATGATAGATGGAGAAATTATGTTGCCATATAAATCCAAAATCAATGTCAAGTATACAAATCAGAGATGTGAATTCCTTCGCTTGTCAGCAGATCATAAGGTATTTTGCTATAGAATCCAAAATCAACGTCAAGTATACAAGTCAAAGATGTGAATTCCTTAGCTTGTCAGCAGATAGTAAGGTACTTTGATAATTTGGTGCCAATTCATCATTTGGCTCCATATTTTGATTAAGACATAGGGGCACTAAGGATATATAATCACTTGATCATGCATGAGACAAATGGCACATGTGCTCTTTTGCTACTAGAAAGGACGATAGACTAAGGTAATTTGCACATATCTTGATATTTGCATAAGATTCTTTTATCCAAATAAACTGAAAAGAAACAAGAGGCAATAATATTTGACCAATACCTGCAAGATAAATCAGTTGACAGAGCTATGGTCAACTATACAAAAACTACCTTTCCAAAAGGAAAATTTAAACTAATAGGATAAAATGAACAAAATATGAGAAAGAAATCTGAACATCGTAAAACAATATTTAAATTAATGGCAAATGCAGAATGTACTAAGAAAAGAAAACTTTTCCACCAGTGAGGCAAAGACTTACTGCATGAGAAGAAAATCTCACGAATGCAAAGCCTCGATTGATATTCCTCTTGTTTGAAGAACCAAGATTTGAAGCCATTGCAAGGTCAACCGAAACAACATCTTTGAATGTCTGGCAAAATATGTGTGTCCAAGTGAAATTATTTTGAGAAGTATATATATAAAAGAAATCTATGATTGATAGGTATATCAAGGTTCTACCTTGCGTAATCAATTCTTCAAATTCTTCTAAAGTCCACTCTGGCAAAACAATAAGGGAAAGCAGACATTAGCACTTAGATGACAATTTTGATTTTCTGTGTATTTTCACAACAAAGTTCTGCAGATCAACATGTTGACAAAGCGCTCTGCACTGCTACATTGGGTTGTCTAAGACGATGGACAGGTATTACAGATTTTTCTTGCCATTGACATGACATTGATACTAACAAATGATTAAGTCAAATATATTGGCGTGTATTTTTCTTTCAGGGAAATTTACTGCATCATGATTCTTGATTTTCACCATGAGTGGAGTTTACCTTTGCAAAGATTTCCAAAGAAAACTGTATCTTGATCCATTGACAGATCAACATGAAGCCTCTTTCCTTGAAGCTGGTAAAGAACCAACAGCAAATATGTTATGAATGTCAAGTTTCATACATGAGACACAGTGCTATTCTTTACATCTGTTATAATGAAAAGGCACACTACCATCTCAGATCTCACTCTGGAGTCTGGACTCAAGGTCTATAGAAAAGGAAATAAAATAAAACAAACTTGTGATTAATAGAAATGTGAAGAAACCAAAAGCAATTGCTGCAGGCAACATTATGAAACTGCTACGTATAACAAAATATTAACGACGGAAAGCAAAAGTTGCTACATATAGATGTGAACTAGACACAGGGGAAAAAATGATTGAACGTAATGGCAGACTGGTACATATTAGCACAAGTTAAGCATTGTTAGAACACATGTGACTAAACACAATAGATTTGTAAGCATTATTAGAACAAGTTAAGCATTCTTACCTCAATACCATTCTTTTGCCTTTTGGCCGTATTAGCATACTCCCTCTTTGAAAACCTAACAAAACCATATCCCTGAAAAGATTTCAGGACAGAAAAATGACGTTAGTGTTTCATAACAAAGTGAAGGAAAAAAACGATGTCTAAAAGACTGAAATCATATACTGCGATGTCTAAATTTTACACTTGTACCAGACCTTTGAATGGCCATTCTGATCTTTCATTATACGCACGTCAATAATCTCTCCGCATGAAGAAAATATCTGTTAATGCTATACAAGTCAGTGCCACAACAAAGAAAATGCAAGAAAACTTCCTTTACACATGAACCATTAATTCTAACTTCACTATTCAGACAGAAGAGAACAAACAAGTTGGACAGCATCATTCTAAATATGATTTAAGTTCAACATTGAAATATGAAATAAATTAAATATTCACGTGCCTGAACCTTAGATAGGAGTGCTTGGAATATACCCAAAGACTTAGCCTTAGATAGGAGTGCTTGGAAGACAGCTATTCACGTGCCTGAACCTTGATTGCTTCTGCTGGGTTTCAACTCTAGCCTACCCCAACTTGTTTGGGACTTAAAGACTTTGTTGTTGTTGTTGTTGTATTCTAATCTTCACAACATGGCATACTTGGCTTATTACTAGATATTATTATTCCACTAAAAAAAGTACAGAATAAACCGAAGGGTCAAATACGCAACTGTAGTTTTTCAGATTCAGCTATTCTCATTTAGATTACAGAAGAAATGTAAACCACTCCTCCCCTTTAATTTACTTTGTTAAGAGTAAAATAGGCAGGCATCAGGCAATGATATCTAACCACAGAATCTACAATGGCACCAGCTCTCCTGGCAGGTACACATCTAACTCTGATTTGCAATTTAGACGCTACTTTTACAAACCAGCCCAAATGCAATAAATACAGGTCTGATTCAACCTCTGTATGTTTAAAATTTTCAACACCATCAAACTTATATTGCACAGAAGCAGCCTTCTATCTCTTGTGGGTAAACTACAAACCAGAAGAAACAGAAGCAGCAAACGAACCTCCCGGAGCGTGCTTTCCGTGGCCGACCGCGGCAGCCCGCCGACGAACACCTCGGTGCCCTTCGCCGTCCGGCGATCTGCGCATAGCCACACAAAAACCGCGATCAGTGGCATAAAAACTCCCCTCTCAATCCATCAAAAACGAAACGGCCTCCCTCGATAAACACTCGCCTTGCGTCGTCGTAGCCGCCCGCGGCGGCGCCATCTTTACCCTTGAAAAACAGAGGAGGGGCAAGGGGCGGGTGGGTCTATGTCGCCAAAATCCGCACCAAATCAGATGCCGCTGCGACCGGGCGGATCGGCCGCGCCTCCCGGGTTTTGAATCCGGCCGAGATCCCGCGAATCGGATGGAATGGAGGACGAATCTTCACGGATTCGGTGTTGAGCAGGGGACTGGCGAAGTGGCGAGAGAACCTACGGGGCTTTCCCGTTTTATCGCCTCCTTTTTTATTTCTTTTCGGAAAATTTGGAGTTAAGTGGGTTTTGACTTTTGAGCGAATGTGCTTTTATGAGGCACTGGGCCCGGACTGTCAGATATCGTTGCTAGGCCGGCCCAGTTGAAGCAAAACGAGCTGGGCCATTTGATCGTGGGCCAGTTGGTGTAAATTTCTCTTTCACCTCTGAAATCCAAGGAGAAACTACTTCCCTCAAAAAAAAAAAAATCAAAGGAGAAACTACTAATATACTGGGAGTATTTGTGAAAAAAATATTTAATCCTCTTATTGCGTCAAACTGCCAGGCTAAAACTTTTTTTTTAAACTAGGCTAAAAACTAGTTCAGAGCATCGAAGCTTGTCCTGCACTGCTCTCTGAAAATAAAAGTTTCCTGGTATTAAAACAACTTCGATCAGTTGCAACGAACCACCCAATTTCTTCGCTCTAGGAGTGGATGGATACCGCTGCTGCGGCCGTTAACCGAGTGCTCTGTTGCGTTTTGGATGTGTGCCGTTGTTTGGCCTGGCCAGCTGTTGTGACCAATCTTCAGTGCAATTCGACGTCCCTGCCTGGCCAATTTGGGGCAACCGGCCTAGCCGCCAAAGTTTGGCCAGCAGCCAAGATTGGCGGGCATCCAAATGTGTCCTCAGTGGCTTCCTCCGGTTGTTTCTATGTGTCCTCAGTGGCTTCCTCCGGTTGTTTCTAAGTGCCAATGTGTCTTGTTACGAATTGGAGCGGCAATGTGAAATTAAAAAAAAAATTGGAACGGCAATCCCTCCAAAACGGACACTACAATAAACTGCGCCAACAACTCTGCATGTGCCACCACTCTGCAGTGTTCTCAGTCGGTTTTGTTCTCGCTTTCTCACAGTACTGAGGTTGTTACTAGTAACTAGTAAGTCAGTCTGAATATTCTACTACAAAGCAAGTAATCCGTGCTAATTGTGCCGCAGGGATTTAAAACTCTTTACATCATCATCACTGGATGAGGAAAATGAATTTTGGACAAGTACGTCCATCTCTTTGTGAAAGTGCCATCTGAATATGCATCAGTAGAAATGTACAAGCAGGAATTAGCAGTACAGCACAAACAAGAAGCATGTATATTACAAAAATAGAGTAATGGACCATAAATAGCCAAGTACATTTATTAAGGGCGCTACTAATATAGATACATGTTTTGATACATGGTATTCTCTATTTCTTTTTTGTTTATTTCAGAAAAAAATGCAGTTTCTACTTGCTAGCAGCAACCAAGGCAACTACTTTCAAAGGCAACCAAGGCAACTACTTTCAAAGATCATCGCGCCTTTGAGATGCGCCTCATCAACCTGGAGTGAAACCTTGGCTCCTGGGAATTGTAGGAAGCTTCACTGACCTGCATTTTCACATAAAAAGATTTAGCTGAATATAGTTTGAAACGAAACCAGTTGCAGGTACTTGCATTTAATTATATATGGAAATGTACATGAAACTATGGTTTGAGTTAATTTAGACCTTCTTGGGTGCTGAGATTGTGAGACTGAGCGATTGATCATGCAAAAAAAATGTTGACAGATCATCAGAGAAGGCAAAAGGATTAGAAATTCAATACCTTTTTTGGCACAAAGGGCTTGGAGAAGTCTGGCATTGGATGTGCTCTTGGAACCTGCTCCTTCCTTAGCTGGTTGATCTCAATCTCCTCATCCAACTGCACAAGAATACATCGTACCATGGATGGCCTTAACTCGTACCAATACCATGCTGTAAGTTTCAGATGGATATAGGCAGCAAACCTTCTGCTGTCTTTTCCTCTCCAGTTTCACTTCCTCCATGAAGCTATTGCGCTCAGCGACCTGCAGGATGGAAAGACAGCCGTTGCATAGCAGCCCTCAGGAATTGGCGACGACGAGCGAGCATCGCAGTGGGCAACTTACTTGGGTATCGAACTTGACGCGTCTGACCACACGCACGTCGCTGTGCAGCACATGATCGATCGGTTCCGTGGGTTCCTTTGTTGGAGGTTTCGTGGGATCTACAGAACAGAAGGATCAGAAAAAGGCTGAACAGACATTGGAACAGTGTTTTTTTCTCGCAACATTTCAGCATAAGCGAACAGGGTAACACTTGTCACCTCGGATAACCAATAAGGAAACATGGTCTTCCTTAATAAAAGTTCAAAAACAGCAATAACAGAGTAACAGACTGAAAATTGTGTGTCAGCCCACTGTAACCAATCACGGCAAAGGCAATGGTGCTTAGAACTAAACTGTATACATGAAAAATCCTGTAGGCACTGGTAACCATGGTAAATCAAGCAACAGTTCACCTAGTCTAGCAGTGTAAAGTGGACACTATGAACTGAAATTACTGAAGGCATAGCTGGCATACCTCTGGTTCATCAGTTGTGTACGGTAGACCCTGCGCGAGTGGATGGCGCAGCCTCTCCTCCTCTCGCTGCATCTTCCTCAGCCTCTCAAGAAAATTTCCTTCCTTGGCTTTTCCCCTTTGCTGAGTATAGGAACAGGACACGATTTCTTTAGTTACCCAAGCATGAACAATTTCTTCAGAAGGAAAACTGGACAAGCATGGACAATTTCTTCAAAAGTACAAGCATGAACAAATAAGATGTTTTGAAGCACTAGGCCCTCATACCTCGGTCCAGAGACGGAACGGCTGCTGAGTGGTCACCCTTGTCACCTTCCTGCTGCAACTCCATGGCCTATCCGACGATCCGGTGCTCTGCGATGTGCAAACAGTGTCCGCGCAAAATTCAGAGCAAATTCATGAGCTGAAGGAGAAACAGGATTACGAGCATGCTGTGTGCGTACGTACGTTGTATGCCCTGTGCCGCCGTTGGCCTCGTGCACGGCTGATCCTGCTGAATATTCAGAGACCGCATCAACAGAAGTTGTCAAGAACAGCAATCAAGAACATGTGCAGCGATGGGTGAGGAATACGAGACCTTGTGCGGTCGGAGGCGTCGAGGATGCAGGCGACACCGGGGATGACCGGGAAGGAGACCTCGGACGACGACGCAATGGAAGGGTACGACACGTCGATCTCCTCGGCACCCCGCGGCGTTGCTGGCAACGACACCGTCGCTGTCGCGGTCGCGGTTCCCTCGCCCTTCCTCCTCCTCGCCGCGCCTCTGTTCCGCGCCATGGGGCCGCCTCCGCCTCCTCCGCCGCCCAGCGAGAGGAACCGCTCGAACGTGTCCACCAGGTACTTGACGCGGCCCTCGCCGGGCTCCGGGAGGCCCGCCATGGCCCCCTCCATCGCCACGACCGTCATCGCCCGGTTCCGCGAGGCGGAGACCTCGCTGCCCCGCCGTTCTTGGTCCGCCTCGCTGCAGGGGTAGGAGAGCTTGGCCCGCACCTCGTCGTCGCGCTCCTCGGCGGCGCCCGACGCCGGCGCGCGCGGCGCCTCGTACGCCGCCACCGCGCCGCCCGCCGCCGGAGTCGACCACTTCTTGGTGCAAGAATCAAGCCTCCTCCTGGCCGCCGTCCCCGGCGCCCTCTTCGCCGCCACCGGCGTCTTCTTGGCCGGGGATGACCCAGGGCCGCACTTCTTGGCCGCCTTGCCGCCGGCGCCAAGAACCGCAGGCCCCGTGACCTTCCCGGCGCACGCCCCGAACCTCCTCGGCTCCCGCCGCGCGAACGAGGACGGCGCGTCCTCGCGCGCCAGCCGATTCTCCGCCTGCAACGACGCCGGCGGCGGTGGCGACACCACCACGGGCGCGAACGGGAGCCGCGGTCCTCCTCTGGCTCTCGTCGCCGCAGCCGCCATCATCCCTCCCCGATCAAAACGTGCGCAAACCGGGAGGGAGGAGGACGAAAGCTTTCGAAACCCCGAGCGGCGGTTGATGAGCGAGAGTAATGAGGCGCGATCCGAGAGGGATGGGATGGAATTCGCGTTTCGAAATCCGCGTGGACGAGCCGAAGCGAATTTATAGACGAGGAAGGAGGAGTCGTCGAGGCGAAGCCGGTGAAGCAGGGGTAACGTTGCCGGCGCGCGGCCCTGGCGCAACGGCTAGCGGCCAAGCGGCCAGGGGGTTTTCGGCCGCTGCGGAATTTCGGGGCCGTTGGATCGGGGAGCGGAGGGGATCTGTTGCCGTTGATTAGTGGATTTATTGAGTTTAGAGTGGGTTATCTGGAGTATTTACCGTTGGTGAAATCCTTTGGTGTGAGATTAAGCAGTGAATCTGGCCTTGATCTGATTTTTGCTACTGACATGAATTGGGATTTAGTGAGTGTATCGTCGTTAGGAACTTAGGATGCAGGGACCAAAAAAACAATCAAATCTAAGTTACTTTCACTATCATTGCAATTTGCAAACATAGCCTGTTCGGGAGGCCGCATCGTATCGTGGATTATTTACTGCTGACTGGTTTGGTGTGAGAGAAAAACATTGTTCCTGGCTGGAAATTTACGATCGTTTACGAGGAAGCGAACAGGCAAGCAACGACCTCAAGAATCTTTGTAGGAGCATGTATAGCAACAATCTCAAGAATCTTTGTAGGAGAATGCTTATTACCATACTTGTACAACTTGTACTGTCCTCTCCATATATACGGATCCACATCCATATGACCAATGCTTCCTAGCATGTTTGGAAAGCCAGATATCAGTGAGTTGCAAGTGTTAAATGTGTAGCGCCGTGTTCTGCAGTAGGGATGTGAGGTTATCTTCATATAAAATACTCGATATGAGGTGCATGGCATGTACTCAAAGATGGTATAGTTTGATGAATCTTGTAACTTATGAAACGACTAAGCGAGCGAGGAACTGAGGATCGGACCTATTTCACCCGAGATAAAAAATGAATATGATATTTATTTATACACGAGCAACAATAACAAAAACACACTCTAGAGTGAGTCACAACATTAGGAAGAAACCCAAACCCATGTCCATGTCCTGGCCTCCTCCCCCCCCCCCCCTGGCAAGAAGCCCACGCGAAACTCAACCACGGCCCAGGCTTCCTCTGCATTTGGAAGCCCACGCGAAGGGGGAGGTCGACCTGAACCTTGCCTTTTCCTCGAGGCGGCTGCTCTCGCACGCTCGGGGGGCTAGGCAGCTGCTCCTCGCCTCGCCGCCGCCGCTATCTTCTTCCTCGCCTCAATAGCTCTTCTCCATCACCAGCCTCTCCCTCGACACGCGGCTTTCGGGTCCACTCAACGTCGACACTCGATCACCGCCGCCGCTGCCACCTCCTCAGTTTCAAAATCCAGATCCACTCTAGGTTAGCTCCAAGATCCTATCCAAGTTCCTCTCCAAAATTTGTTGATTCGTACGTTGATGAGACGGGCACGGGTAAGGGGTCGTGGAGCGTGTTGTGGGAGATTATAGCAATTGTTGATTCTTCATATTGCGAAGAGTCTTTTGTTGGAAAACTGATCACAGCCTGTGTGCTGTCAAAGAAGCCATTTGGGCTTGTAATAGACTTGCAACGTTGCGCTGGGTTTGGTTTCATTGTATAGCGACGAACGTTTGACGTTGTGGGTTAATGCTTTTAGGTGTCATGTAGTCGGTGTTGTGACAATTACATGAACCCTCTATGTTCAGTCTAATGTGGCATTTTACGATTTACGTAGTTTTCTTTTGCGTTACAAACTCTTGTAATTCCGTTGCTGTCAAGTAATGAAATTCGGCTTTGCCGTTGTGGAAAAAAAAAATAAGTGGGCACAATAGGCAAGATGAAAGCTCTAGTTTGGTTTTAGTGAATTGATGAAACCCTATGTGCTAACCTATTGCTCTAGTGATCATGAGATAAGTAGCACATTCTAAGTGGTGGACCAAATGAAGATCATGTTGATGGTGGTGATGGCCATGCTGATCAAGTGCTCGGCTTGGAAAAGAAGAAAGAGAAAAACAAAAAGCTCGAGGCAAAGGTGAAACTTGATAGGAGCTTTTTGTTTTGGTGATCAAGACACCTAGTGGGTGTGATCACATTTAGGATCGATAGCCGTACTATTAAGAGGGGTGAAACTCGTATTGAAATGTGGTTATCAAAGTGCCACTAGATGTTCTAACTTATTGCATATGCATTTATAACTAGTGGAGTGCTAACACCCTTGAAAATATTTGTGAAAATATGCTAACACACGTGCATAAGGTGATACACTTGGTGGTTGGCACATTTGCTCAAGGGTGGTGAAGTTTGTGAAGTCGAGGAGGCCACTGGAGTGACCGGATGCAGGACCTGACCCTAGACCTGTGTGTCCGGTCAGCTCTGTAGTGAGTGGCATGGCTTTGGTGTGTGATTGGACGCTGGAGTATGAGAGTGATCGGACGCATAGGAGGGTGAGTTCGGTCATGATGACGTACGCCGACGCAAGCCATTTTGTGAGGAAGAGAGGAGCGAACGTAGGGGCACGTCCGGTCATGCTTGATCTGACGCGTCCGATCACGATTTTGGCGCTCTGGAACCTCTCTGGAGTTGATCTAACGTGGCTCGGCTCGGCGTCAGAAGAAAGGATCGGTGCGTCCGGTCGCTAACAGGTGGTGTGTGGATTTATGTGGACCTGACGTGGAGGTGGTGTGTCCGGTCGTCCTTCGTGGCGTCCGATCGTCACTTAAGCGAAGGCGCGGGCGATTTCGACTGTTGGGATTGCGCAGTGGAAAATCAAAGACGGAGACGCATGGAGCGCATCCGTTGACCGAACGTTGACCTAGGTGAGTCCAGTCGCCCTGACCAGCGTGCCCGATCAACGTGCAGTCAGCTGCAGTGAGAGACCAACGGCTCTATTTTGAGGGGGCCTCTATTTAAGCCCCATGACTGGCTCAAGCTCACTCTCTTGGCCATTTGTATTGACATAACAACCTTATGAGCTTAGCCAAAGCCTTTCCACTCATCTCTATCATTGATTCATCATCTTTGTGAGATTTGGAGTGAATCCAAGTGCATTGCTTGAATGATTGCATCTAGAGGCACCTAGTGATTGTGTTTCGCTGCGGGTTTCCCTTGTTACTCTTGGTGGTTGTTGCCACCTAGATGGCTTGGTGCAGCGAGGATCGTCGAGCGGAGGAAGGTGCTTGTCTTTGGCTCCAATCATGGTGATTATGAGGGGTTGTTGACCTTTCCCCGGTAGAGAGCCAAAAGGTACTCTAGTGGATTACTCATGGCTTGTGTGATCCTCATCTTGTGTTGGTTTTGCGGCACCCGATTGTGGGTTAGGCGTGTGATGCCTATAAGCGCATGAACCTCCAAGTAAGTGAATCTCCACAACGGGGACTAGCTTGTCGGCAAGCAAGTGAACCTCGGTGAAAAATCATTGTGTCATCTTGTCCCGATGATTTCTTGGTATTCATTGTGATTGATTGTCATCGTCTTATGATTGGTTCATTCCTCGACACGGCAGTATAACTCCACTATCCTACCTTACATTTACATTTCTAATGTTGCTACGCTCTTTAATGTAATTAGTTTTGAGATTTAGCTTGTGTCTTGTCTAGTGGTTAGTGAGGCTCTTTAGTTAATCTTTGAGAGCTCACTAACTTAGTGTAGTGACATAGCCTTTTGTGTGCCTAGAGACTATAGAAACTAGAATTGTGGTAGGTGGCTTGCATTTTTAGTAAGCTAGCGCAACATTCGCTTCGCCTCATATTTGTCTAACCGTTTTGTTTAGTGTTGTTGTAGAAATTTTTATAGGCTATTCACCCCTCTCTAGCCATTAGGACCTTTCAAGTGGTATTAGAGCAGTGGTCACCATGATTTGAGGCTTAACAACCTTCGATGTCAAAATGACTCAAATCAACAACACCAAGAAGCCATCCTAATTTGATGGCTCCAATTATGCTTATTGGAAGGCTAAGATGACAACATACATCAAGTCAATCAATAGAAAGGTATAAAAGGTGGTGGAGACCAAGATTGAGGTAGCCAATGCCGAAGCTCCCACCACCGCCAAAGAAGTGCTACTCGAAAACAATGATATTACTCTTAGTGCCATTCATGATGCTTTGGATGAGAGAACATTTGAGCAAATCAAGAATATTGAGATGGCTCATGAGGCATGGAAGAAGTTAGAGGAGTCATTTGAGAGCACTTAAGCCATGAAGGGTGCCAAGACATACATTCTCAAGGAGAAGTTCGCAAGCTTCAAGATGAAGGAAGATGAGAGTGTGCCGGAGATGTTTCATAGGCTTCAAGTGCTTATCAATGATCTCAACGCACTTGGAGAAGAGGTGAAGGACAATGACTTCTCTTATAAGTTCTTGACATAAAGAGAAGGGAATGCAAAGAATTGCGTAAGGAACTAAAAGCCCTTAAGTAAGCCTTTGATGAGCTCAATGTATCTCATGAGAGGCTAGAGGAAGCCCATGAGAAGCTTGGCTAGGCTCACAAGAAGCTTGAAAAGGCTCATTCCTCTTTACTTGATGAGCAAAATGTGAAAGAGCATGTTGTAACATGTGATGTAGGCTTAACTTATGACATAATTGATGAATCATTCTATAAGCCTATCATTGTTGCTCCCACTAACCCTTTTTATAGCATTTCCACTTCTACCTCATCTAGTAGTGATGGTTTTACTTGTGATGCCTCACTAATGATTGAGAATGAGACTGTAACACCCTAGGTGTTAGCCTTGCATAACTTGACTTGCATAGCATGAGCATGATCATCAAGCATTCATAAACAAGCATTTACAATTGAAACATTGGATTAAAACATATGCAACATTTGCTTGTTATCGCATGTTTCCTTGTACATATGCAAATGATCATGAGTGTAAACATGTACTTGGTGGATGTGAGTCACAAAAACATTTAACAACACATGGGTTAGCA